CCATAATTGACTGAAATCTTAGTACTTTTCATTTTTATAATTAAAGATGAAACTGTTCAAATCATTCTCTATAATAAATATCCATCCAGCGCATGAAAATACACAAGATAACAGTGCAAGTTTTGTCTAATAAAGGTCAGCTCACATCTTTATCAGTTTATGATAACAAATGCTAAACCTGAAAGACACAGGTTCTTAAGTGAGTCAACTGTGACGCAGGAAGCAATGCAGTACGCCTTGGTTTTAGGTGACAGAGAACAAGCCTTTTGAATTAGTTTTATATTTCACAATTGCAACTTAATTTCTCACAATTGACCATTTATTCCTCATAATTGCATATTTACACACTACTGTTTAAGGTTTGGGGTCGTTAAGATTTTAATGTTTTTGTTAAAAAAATTCTTACTGACCCAAAACTTTTGAAGGGTGTCTCACAAGTGACTTTATACCATATTTTTCAGAAACAACATTCTTTTTCTTCAATGTAATGTTTTTAGAATGACACCAGGAAGTCATGAATAATAATGAGATCATTTTTCTTTCTAGAATTCATAAACCGATACTGATGAAATGATATTCAATAGTTTAAAATGCTGCTACAGTTCTATTTTCTTGTCACTATGAAAATCAAAATTGCAAAGGGAAAACACAGTCGCTCTCATGAACCTTCCAGCTGCGCAGCACCAATGTGTCTTTGTTTAATAAATGGCCAAATCATGCAGACGAATTAATGAATAAACAGAGGTTTATGATTATAAGACACAACCCCAGCTGAAGACCCCTGCTTTCCCCTAAGTGTCTTTATTTGTGAGTGTCAACTGTCTGTCACATGTATTTGTCATCCTGTGAGATCTCTCTGTCCCCTTCCCTTCTGCCTATCTGTTACATATTCTAGTCTGTCCCATCTGCCCAGGTTTCTTCTAAGGCCACCTTACAGGTGAGAGTTTTTCTACATTCAGGATCTGCAATCTTCTAAAAAGTGATGTGGGCTACTGATATTTTTGTAATAAAAAATGCTTTAAGGGTTTGTTTTTAAACCATTATTCAAGAACTGCTTAAAACCTTAGCAAACATAGTCTGTGGTTCGACCATATTCTGTGGAGGCTGTTTAGGAAGTAGATAAGCTTTGCTTTGATTCTTGTGAAACTGGGCACTCTTTGGTTTGGACATTTTATTTTTTTTTTAGCTTCTCTTCAGGCACTCTTTCATTGCAGCCTGTAAAGCTTCTTTTCCCATCATGCCTTGAAGTGAGAGCCCTGTGCAGTCTATAGACTAACTATATACCCGCTTGCTTGTATGCCTGAAGTGCCATTATTGACAAAAAGCCTCACAAAGCATGAAGATCCTGCAGCCTATTTAACACGGGATAACACCATCCGACAGTGGCTGGGCCAAATGAACTTTAGCCCTGCAGTCTGGATTAGACTTGAGCCTGGCAACCAGTGGACTGCTGATGGGGTCTTTTGTTGACAAGTTTTAAAGGGCACCCACTTTCAATTCACCCCTTTCTAGTGCACAAAGGCACATCAAATCAGGTCATGAACATGTCTCAGAGAAGAAAGAAAACTCATAAAACACATTTCTTCTGGAATATGTAATGGTTGTTTGTCATGTATGTGTTTTTTCAGTGTCTGTTATAATTGGCTTTCACCAGTATTATCTCTACATTGCCATTTCCTTTTTTCTGTGTGAATGTTTACATTTATGCTTCCTATTTGAGGATCAGGCTATAGTAGGACAATTCATGAAAGTTAACTTATATTTGGAGACAGATACAATATTGCAAGCTAACACAAATACGCAAACGTTTTGTCACTCAATTCTGTTAAACTATATATATGTAGCGAATCAGCTCATGGGGAAATATGAATAATTA